TATATATATATATATATATATATATATATATATATATATAGATTAAAATTAGCATTATTTATTTTAATGAATATATAATATTACATTTTATATTTAAAAGTAATAAAAATATTTGTGATGTATATTCTAGAAATTGTAACATAGTTTATGCATACTAATATATTTAAATTATAAATTCTTTATTCGTTTCTCATATTCGAATCAGATCAATCTTTATATGACATAGAAATTATATAATGCTTCGCACAATACATCATATAATTATTATTTTAAAAAAATATCGATTTCAAAACATTGTTTTGTTTTAAAAACAAATATTTATACTTTTGATAATCCACATGATACATACACATTAAATTTAATAATAAAAATACACCAATTTTGTTGAGAATATTGAGAATACAAGATTACTTTTATCCAAATATTCTTAAAAGAAATGATGGAACGACCCAAAATCATGATGTTATGAACACATTGATACATCCCTGTCGTATGCGCAGTGCGGTCTTTCTATTATTTCAATTTTTATCTTAAATAGATATTCATTTATTTTTAAACCTTATTGAAAAATCTTAACTTATTAACATAATAATATAGCCATTAAAATTATTAATAATTTATCAATAAAATAATATTTTTAATTTCGTATCTTTGGTCAGTTGTTTTCAGAGAGTGCAAAGACATCATCCAATAGGAGTCGAGTGGCTAGCTGACAAGTTGCGTCGGGGTGGAAATGGGCAGGGAACAGGAGCTTGTACGCATTCGAGCCGAGAAGTGTTGATTTCACGAAAGGGGTCAGGTTCCGTGTCTACGTGATTTTTCCTGTGTTATTACTTTCAATAATATAATGTAAATTTCGATTTTAATGTCACACATCCCAGTGTCTTAAGATTATTTATATGGAGATCGTGGAGCGCTAGAAGATGCTGGTAAGGAAACAGGCGGGAGCAAAGTTGACGTAGAAACAAGTGCGCAAAGATTGTATAGTTGAGTTCTTTTTTCTGCCGTGCGTACCGAGAAAGTAAAATCCGTGCTTTTGTTATGTAGTTACAACGCTTTCGCAGGTCATTTACTTCGGACGAATGTCTCACCTAAAGTACCTTCGAGGTTACAACTATTACCTGATGTCTGAGAAATCGACAGGCTGTCACGAACGTAGTGGACTCCGTTTTGAAAACGTGGTTAAGATATCAAAGTATGAGTTTTATTTCAACGAAATATCTTCGTGCGAAAGTTCTTGTTTATCGTAGGACAATTTCGATTTAAAAATAATTTGTACCTGCGAGGCATGACCGCCTACATAAACAATAGCTCATCATACAAGACAGTTAATGTTTTTAAATCAATTTTGATACTTTTATTTTTCGGTTATCGTTAATAATAATAGAAATGTAACTTAAAACGAAATTAGATGTTAATGGTATATTTAGATGAAAAATTAATAATAATTATCTAAAATTTCATTGATATTATTTATTATTATTATAATAATATATTATTATAATTTTTTATTAAAGCTCTATAACAAAATATTAAAATTTTAGATATTTCTTATTATTTTATTATAGTTAGAGAATGAATGTATAATAAAATATTTATAAAAGTATGTCATGAAAAATTATACATAAAAAAAACTATAAATCTTAAATATAGATATATCTTCTGTTACAGGGAGACGATCCACCGTACCTATCAGTGGGTACGGAGGTTAGTGCTAAATACAAGGGTGCCTTCTGTGAAGCAAAAATTCGAAAAGTAGTAAGATCAGTAAAATGCAGAGTGACTTATAAACAAGGTTTGGGTACAGCAACAGTAGCTGATGATCAGATAAAAGGAACTTTAAGAGTAGGTGCAGCTGTTGAAGCTAAACATGGAGATAGAAAAGAATATGTGGAAGCTACTATTACTAAAATCCAAGACTGCAGTCAATATACTGTAGTTTTTGATGATGGAGATATTACAACATTAAGAAGAACTGCACTTTGTCTAAAAAGTGGACGACATTTTGCAGAAAGCGAAACTTTGGACCAACTTCCTTTGACACATCCAGAGCATTTTGGCAATCCAGTAATTGGAGGTAGAAGAGGGCGGCGCTCTAGACAAGCACAGTGAGTACAGTGAAATAATACAGTATAATTTTGTAATATAATTTGAATTAATATTTATTAAAGAATTGTTGTTAAAGAGATGAAAGTAGTGATGATGAAGATAGCCCTCCACGAGGAACTCGTGATTCAGGTTCTAGTGGCACTGGAAAAGAAGGAATGGAGACAGAACCTGAAATTGGACGAGTTGTATGTGTGGAACTTGGGGACAAAAAAAAGAAAGATAATTGGTTTCCTGGATTAGTAGTTGCACCTACTGCTCAAGATACAGTGAGAATTAGAGTAAGAGATGACTATCTTGTGCGCTCATTTAAGGATGCACGATAGTAAGTTTAAATTGTGTTTATGTATAAACAAGTTTTGTGGAAAATATGAATACATAAATATTATATATACATATGAAGTTATTCATATATTATATTCATATATTTATGATAACTTTAATAAAATAATATTAATATGTTAAATTTTTTTTTTCATTAAAATATTTTTTATTTAGAATTACAGATGTTTAATAATTTTTCTAAAATACAATATCAGATATATAAAATTTATTTAGTTTATTATTAATTTTCATTAAAAATATATTTATTAAAAGTTAATTTTTACAATATTTATTTTTATGATATTACAGTGTTTATTTAAATATTTCTTTTTATATTACTATGATATTTTTTGCATATTCAGTTATACAGTTCCGAAGAAAGAAGCCACTGAATTTACAAAAGAACTTGTCAACAAAGTTGAAAATAGCACATTGAAGGTTGCAGTAGAAAAGGCATTGCTATTTTTAGAAAAGAATGAGTTACCTCCTCATTGGGATAGAGATTCTCTTTTTGGGCATTCTGTATCAAGTGGAAATAGTGATTCAGATGGAGAACTTGATTCTGATGTAAGATGTTTTTTTCTAGTTATAATTTATTGTTTTCACATATTATATAAACTTTATTTATTTTGCAGAGTTCTGATGATGAACCACGTGAAGAAAAAGATCATTTTGTAGCACAATTATATAAATTTATGGATGATCGAGGAACACCTATTAACAATTGCCCAATGATTGGTTCTGAAGATATAGATTTATATAGATTATTTCGTGCCGTTTATAAATTAGGAGGTTACAATCGTGTAACAAATCAAAATCAATGGAAATTGATAACACGTCGCCTGAGTTTTACAATGCAAAATTCACCATCTACGCACAATTTGGTTAAACAGGCCTATAAAAAATTCTTACACTCTTTTGAAGATTTTTATAGAAAATTAGGTTGTACTATGGTAAATCATCCAAGAGGTACTATGCGTAAACAACGTCCTGGAAGAAGTTTGATTAGAGATAAGGACAGAAATACACCTGTACCTCCTCAAGTATCAGTTGCTAAAAATGAAAAAGAAGAAGAAGATAAAAAAATTATGGAAGAGGAAAAAAAGGAAAAGAAAGAAGCTAAGAAAGAATCGATAAAGGAAGAAGAAATTGTTAAAATAAAAAAGAAGGATGAATTTGAGGAAAGTGGTAGTGGACAAGAAAGTGATGTAAATATTGAGGGTGAAGCTGAATCGTCCTCCAGTGAAAAATCTCAAAAAATTTCAACATCATTATCATTGCCAAATAGAGGTAAATCTAAAAATAAAGAAGACTCAAAGAAAAAAGTAATAGAAAAAAAGAAAAATGAATTTAAAAGACAAGAAAAAAAAGATGATAAAATAAAAGAAGAAGATGCTACTAAAACAAGATCAAAATCTAAGGACGATAATGTAAAAGGTAAAACGCCTTCTGAAAATAGAGAAACACGAACTCCATCAAGAGAATCAGAAAGAAAAACTTTATCTAAACAAAGACGATTAATAGATGAAGATTTAAAAAGACGAGGAAGAAAACGAAAAGAATATGAAATAGAAAAATCACGTACAGATGAACAGTTAACGGATTCAGCTCCTTGTTATAAAGGGCCTGTAGAATTAGGAGATAGATTGAAAGTTTATTATGGACCTACTCATGAATCTAAAGTTACTTATGAAGCAAAGATTATTGACATGGAGAAAGATGGTACAGAACCAATGTATTTAGTACATTATACTGGATGGAATACAAGATATGATGAATGGATTAAACCATCAAGAATAGCACAGAATTTTACACAAGCTCAAGGAAGAGTAAAACGAATTAAAGCTACTTCAAGACCTCAAACTCCTAGTACGAATTTATCAAATAATATAAATAAATCATCAAAAATGATTTCTAATGCTAATTCAAATACATCTCAAAATCGACGTCGAGCACAAAGTGTTGCACCTACATCAATTATTTCATCTTCAACAAAAGAAGTCAAAAGAGAAGATAAAGATAAAGAAATATCTCAACCAGTTAGATCTACAACTCCATTGTCTATTATAAGTTCTAGCTCTAGAACTAAAAGTCCAGCAACACCAGCGAATAATCGTCAAACACGAACAAGAAATAATGATATATCCAATATAGAACATCGAAGACGAACTAGAAGAACTTCTGGACATGCAGATATAGTTCCATCGGAAACTGAAGAAAGTGAAACATATGATTCAGATACTACAGAATCTGAACAAACAAGAACTAAATCTAAGATTACAGAAGAAAGAAAACGTAGAGAAGCAAGATATAGAGTAGAAGATAGAATAAAACCTGAGGAAACTAGCGAGGGTGAAGAAGATAAAGATAATTTAGAAGAACCGCGTAGAGGTAGACGTTTAAGAAGAACAATTAGTAAATCGCAAGGTATAAAATCTGAACCAGATAGTGACGAAGAACAGCCGAAAGGTCGAGATTTTGATTTAAATCAAATACGATCTGAATTAAAAGGTTTTGATAAAGCAGTGAAATTAGAACTTGTTAGAGTTGAACCAGATCCAGAAGATGAAATAAAAATAGAAGAAAAAGAGAATGTTGTTTTAGTTTCACCAAAATCGGAAAAAAATTTAGAATCATCAAAATTAGAAACAATGTCTGAATCTAAAATAATAGATAATACAGAAGATATATATGAATTTAAAGAACCAGAACCATTTGAATTTGAAGTACGAAATAAACGAGATACGAGTGGAGAAAAAGATAAAATAAAAAAGAGAGTATTTGAAGATGAGCCAAAAAGTCCTAAGAAAAAACAAAAAATAGTATCACCAGTTATAAAAGAAGCTAAATCAGAAATAGATATTGATTCACGAAAAAAAGTGAAAAAATTGTTTAGTAAAAGAGTTGATGATATTACAGATAATTTAACTTCTCATAAATTACAATCCACATCATTAACAACATGTGAAGAAGCATTTGATAAACTTTGTGAGTCACCATCATTTAATCAAGTAAAACCTATACCTATCATTGAGGAAACAAATAAAATAAGTAATGGTATAGATCTTTTATTTAGTGATTTACCTGGAGATGATGATGCTACCCATGATGATTCAGAAGATCGTTTAATAATATCAGAAGCAGAAATTTCAGAAGCAGAACAAGAAAACTTATTTACATATCAACAAGAAATGTTCTCTTCTAATGATGCAAATGATTCAATGGAATTAAATAAAGAAGATTCAAATTTACAAATTGAATCAGTAAGAGAAGATACAACATTAACAATTTCAAATAAATCTGATATTCTTGTTGAAGCAAAGGAAATGATTAAATCTCCATTACATAGTCAATCTCCAGAATTAAAATCATTGGAATCAAAATTATTAGATATAACACCTGTTTCATCTCCAATTGTAACAATTCCAGCACCAATTAGTGCAAGATTACCAGCTACATCTACAATAGAAGAAAAACTTTCAGCTGCAATGGCTTTTCGTAATAAAACTAAAGATATCAAAAAAGAAGAAGAAATTACGGAAGTTGTATGGAAATCTTCAAAAGAAATTTGTAAAAAGTTAGATATTGCAATTATACAAAAAAATAAAGAAGATCAACATGGATCTAAAATTGAAAGTGAAAATAAAAAACAAGAAGATGAAGATATTATAATTAATAATGAAAATCAATGTAAAGAAATAATGTGTGTGGTAATTAAACAAGAAGAGGAGGAACTTCAACAATTTAAACTAAAAAAAGAAATAGAAATAAAAAAATTTGTTGAAACTAAAATAGAACATAAAAAAATACAAGAAGAAGAAGAATGGAAATGTATAGAAAATGATAAATCTAAAAAAATAGAAGATGAATTTAAAGAGCATGATTTTAACAAAGAAAAAGAAAAAGAAAAGCATAAGAAAATAATTAATCAAGATGTGGTAGATTCTGCAGATAGTAGTGATTCTGAACAGAGACTAATAATTGATAATGAGGAATCACAAGATGTAAAAACTTCATCAAATTTTGATATTAAATTAAGAGCAGAATTAGATAGACTTCAAGATACACAAGAAAGATATTCACAATTACAAACACAAAAACCTATGCAATCATTGAAACATCAACAACAAGAATGTGAATTTAAAAGTGAAATTAAAGAAATATCTATTACAAAAACAGATGAAGAAGGAGAGACAATTAATTCTTTGCTTTGTGAAGAAGAAATACCAGGTTCACCAGCACCTATTACTGAAAATATAGAACAAATAAATGCTGGTCCATCTTGTTCACCTCCAAAAGTTGAAACTACAGAAAGTAATATAGTACTAATGGAAATGCCATTTGCAAGTGCACCTACATCTGGTCAAAGTACAACCAGCAGTACTGTTGCTACTCTTAGTATGGCATTGCCAAAAACTGTAGAAACATCTGTTCCAGTTTCTTTATCTATACAACAAAATCCTACTCTTGGTGTGAGGCAACAATCTCATCATCAACATTTACCTGCACTAATGTCTGCACAGAGAAGAGAAAGCAATGAAGCAGCGCCTGTAATGGATAATACTCCTCCAACTACACCTGATTCAAGTATTTCCAATATTTCTGGATCTCCAAGAGAAGAAAGAACAGGTGGTTCATCACCAACTTCGGAGGATAATATGAAACATAATCGTGATAGTTCTGAAGCAGATAATGAGAGTGGTGGTAAAGGTCCAGGATTTAGTGAAGATGATACATTGCCAAATGTTGAAGGAAATTCTGCAGATAGGATATTAAAACCACCAGCAAAACGTTCTATTGAAGAAACACAATCTCCTAAAAAACGTAAAAGAAGTAGAAAACATTCAGAATGTGATAAAAACACTACTAAAAAAACAGGAAGACATAGTAATAGACATGGTAGACATGGTGGTGGAAGTGATAGCGATGATACGAGTGAAGGTTCTAATTTATGCGGAGTTAATTCAACTTCAACAAATCATACGAATATAAGTAGTGTTCCCGATCTGAGTAATTATTCATCGAGATCACCTCGACCTACAAAATATAATTTTTATGTGGAATTAGGTAAAAAATTAAATAATTTCTATCTTAATTTTATTCCATTAACTATAAAAAAATTTATTAATTTTTTTTTTCATATTATAGATCCTGAATTGGATGGTAGTCAAAGGATAGCTGTATTGCAGCAAAAATTAGCTGAATTACGTAAAACATATAATGCTGTGAAAGTTGAACTTGCCGCTATTGAAAGACGCAGAAAAAAGTTAAGAAGGAGAGAACGAGAAGGTAAAAATTTTATATATATAATTTTTTAAATTATTAGTCTTTTTTAAAATAAAATATATAAAAATTTTTATATAAAATTTTTTTTATATATAAAAAATATATTTAATTTGGTTCTAGCCATAAAGGCAGCTAAAGCAGAAATGCAACAGGCTTGTTCGTGATGAGCTGCCTTCAAATATCCTAATTTATTTAATCTGCGTTAAAGAAACTTTTATACAACACTGATAAATATAATAGAATAGAATCACTATATGGACACCCTGCAATTACAGCAGATTTCATGACAATTTTTATCTACCTAATATTATTTAGGTAATTTTTTCTCTATTAATATAAATTGTAGATATAGATATAAGATTTAGTAAAGAAGGAACACTTACCAGAATGAAAAAATATATTCATATGTGCTTTGTGTTGTACATTGTTTTGTCAAGATCATAATGTGACAGTTAAAAATTTTTATCCTTTAATTTGTCATTTCACCTGCTCAGATGCAAAGTACAAATTATCGAACTTGATGATCATTTCATCGTTCATTCTTGTTTTCTAAGAAAAGGCTGAGAAAAATGTTACCGATAGTGTGTTATTGTAAAGACATCTTGGGAACAAATAATTGTCATAAGCCGTCTGTCATTTTTGTTTCGAATATAGTTTTTAGCACCGTTGGCAGTTGAGCTGTTTTCAAGACGATAAAAAGATGTCAACAACCATCGCATTCTTCCTAGGATAGAAAATTTTGTATATAT